GGGCTGCGTCTGCCCCTCTGCCCCGGCGCCTCCCCGCCCAGCCCGTGGCTCCGGCTGCCCAGCTCCGGGCTCCCAGCGCCTGCACGGGCCGGGGCAGCCGCAGCCGCGCCGGGTCCCTCAAGGATGGCCGGGACGGGGCGGAGGAGGCGCTGCACGCGGCATTACACACCCTGCCCTGCTTCTTTTTCTTTTGTTTTAAAGATAAGCGAGCTAATGATCCCACCTGGTTGAGCCGGGGCTTGTTTCACATAGAATGACATCGTCCTCCCCCTGCCCCGCTCGGCCCCGGCAGCTGCCAGCTGTTTTCTGTTATTTTGTAAACGGAGGCGGCCGCGGAGCGCCCACGTTTGCCGTTTACAGCAACACCGCCCCTTCCCTGCTAACTGCCCGTCCCGTCCCGACCAGACCCGGGCCCCAGCTTGTGCCACATGGAGAGCTCCTCTCCACGCGGCTCTTCGGGGTCGGTGCCCTCGTGCTGCCCCCTCCCTGCCGGTTTCCAGAACCGGGATTTCTCCTTGCAAAGTAGATCTCGTTTTTAAGGACCTAGGAGCGGAGGGGATGCTCGCAGAGCAGCTCCCCCGAGCCCCTGTCTCCCTAGCGGGGAAGCAGCGAATTCACCGTGGGAAGCGAGGGGCAGCTGGGAGGGAGCCGCGGGTCCTTGGAAATCCCCGCCACCTCCGTAATAAGGAGGGAGTCCAGAGGGCAGACGACCGGGCCGAGGTGGCTGCGGTCCGGGCTCCGGGCTCACACACCGGGCGCGGAGGGCCGGGGCAGGGCTCTGTGGCTGCCCCAGGCCACTCCTGGACGGAGCCCGTGTGCGGATGCTGGGCCCCGCACCGGCCTTGCCAGCGCGATTTCCCCGCAGCCCCCGGCTCGGCAGCTGCGAGCAGCCCCTCGGGCTCCGAGGGCGGGCGAGGGCCCGCTGCTCCGAGCCGGCAGGTTTGAAGGCGCGGGCACGTGCGCACACAGCTTGTCCCGCAGCTTCCTCTGCGGCCGCCGGGGCTGCAGGTCACCGCCAGCGCGGCCCCGACGGGCAGTGT